CCAGCACAGGGCGGCGCTCCTGCTTGCTCCCGCCCGGCTCCTGGCCGATCTAGGAGGCAGAGTCCAGGTCCCGCCGGACCAAGCTCTGGGCACGAGGCCGGGGCCCCCGCTTTGGGTGCACAGTGTGCAGACGGACACAGCCTCAACTCAGAACCCAGAAGGGGGGGTCAGAACCACCAAAAAGAGATTCTTATTCTGCTGCTCCCTCGGATGAACCGAGCCCGACACGGCCGAAGACTGCACCGTTTTGTCTTTTATTGAACGCCCTGGGGATGCTGAGCAGGGAGCCCGCGTCCCACCACGGCTGCTCCGGGAGCAGGGCCCCTCAGAAGCATCTTCTCTGGACCACAGATGCCCCAAACTCCTTGAAGTCTGCGGAGGTGACCCACATCTGCTTAAAGCTGCTCAGGGAGGTGACGACGGAGGCGCCTATCCAGGTGGAGAACCACCGGTCGGGCGGCGCCGTGATCTTGATGGGGGTGCCCTTGGAAGCCAGCTGCTCCAGCTCCCACAGGAGCCGGTCGTCAAGCCCCTGGAGCAGTGTGGTGCCCCCGGACAGCACGATCTCCCCGAAAAGGGTCTTCTGGATGTCGGCGTCGCACTTGGTGATGCTGCAGGAGACCATTTTGGAGAGGCCGGGGTTCTGGACGCCCAGCTGCTCGGGCGAGAACAGGGCCTCGGGCGCCTGGTACAGCTGGTCCCCGATGGGGACGATGTTCCCGTCGGGCAGCCGGTACTCTCGGAGCACCTCCTCCGGCCGCCGGCAGAGCTCCTTCTCTGGCTCCAGGGCCACGTAGCACAGCTTCTCCTTGATGTCGTCCGCAAGGGCTTTGTCCAGCCTGCAGGGGAAGGCCCGCCCGCCGGCCAGCAGCAGCCGACTGAGGTGCTCCGTGATGTCCCTCCCTGCCACGTAGAGCTTGGTGACCGCGTGGGGCAGTGAGTAGCCCTCGAAGATGGGGACGGTGCACGTGACCCCGTCCCCGCTGTCCACCACCAGGCCCGTGACGCAGGCTGAGGCGTAGAGGGCCAGAACTGCCTGGTCCGACAGGTAGAAGGCGGGCACATCGAACCTCTCGAACATCACCTCGGCCGCCTTCTCCCGCGTCTCCCGGGGGTTCAGCGAGGGCTCCGTCATGAGCACCGGCCGCTCGCTGGCCTTGACCCCCAGCTCCCACTCAAAGAGGTGCTTCCAGAGCTTCTCCATGTCGTCCCAGCCCGTGATCAGGCCCCGCTCGATGGGGCAGCGCAGGTGTAAGGCCTCGCACCTGTGCAGGGCCTCTTCGCCCACAAAGTGCTTCTTCTGGCCGGCTCCTGCCGCAGCCGTCTTGAACTTGGGGTGCCCCACGACGGAGCTGACCACGTGGCGGGGGCCGATCTCTCCGGACAGCCCCGCCTTGCAGAGGCCGGACCCGTTGTCGAAAATCACGGCTGGAGAGTCTAGCACGTGCGGGTTAAACATGTCTGCAGCATCCTCTTCCGCGCTGCGTCAAAATAGAGTCGGGAGTCTCTCAGGCCCCTTTGTGATGGAAGAGGCTCCTCTGGAAGCTTCGAGGGCACAGGGTTCTACGTTCCTGGGGCGTCTCCCAGGCAGGGCAACTATACGGCCGGTCCCCGGGCACCCTGCATCCTCACCCACAGGTGTGCTCTCCTCTCAGGAAGCCCGGGCCGCTGAGGCCTTTTCAGGGACGACCGTCCCTATGTAACAATCCAGCAAGGCAACAATTGTCCTCCACCAGCATCAGCGGGCCTGCAGGGGAGGGGGCCCGGAGCCTGTGCCCCCCCCACCTGCTGAGACTCCAAACGAGGCGGCAGGCCCTGCCCGAGGACAGTGTTGATGGGCTTGTGGGCCTGAGGGCTACTAGCCTTAGAACCCAGTGAAGCACCCAGCTGGGGCCAGCCCATAAAGCTGGCGTCTCTGACCCTCTGAGCAGCCATCTGGAGAGTGACAAACACTTTCCTTTGCTAAAGGGGATGCCCAAGACCCAGGCACAGGTCCAGGCTGAGGGGCCGGGGAAAGCCCACTGCTCCTTCACGGCAGAACATTCTTTAATGCAGACTCCTCCAGGAAGCTCTCAGGGATTTCTTCTCTCTTTACCCCATGATCCCTTACTTGGCTGCACAGAGTAGACGCTAAACAGAGCCCTTTGAGTCTGTTGGCTCTCTCTCCCAGCACACGTATCCCTGCTCTGGCTTGAGATCAGGGCCCCCTTTGCTCTCTGCAGCCCCGGAAGCACTGGCACAAGCAATATCTCAGTGGTCCATGGGGTTGCAGACCCAGTGGCCTGTGAAAACAGGGATCTGAGGTTTCACGAGGGGGCAGCGCCGATCAGAGCCTGCCTCTGGCCCATCACACAGTTGGTAAAGCCCCCTGAAGCACGTTCACAAATTACCAGGTCACCAAGGCTGAGGTTGGGAGGGAGGCCGGGAGGCGGTGAGGCTGCAGTCTAGCCAAGCCCAGGAGGGGCCAGGCAGAGGGGTGAGCTCCCGCCTCCTGGAGGAGCCGCGCCAGCAGCACCGGCACTCAGCCTGGGCTGGTTTCCAACTTGGGGGAGGACAGCGGGAGCGGTCAGACCTGGGAACCAGGGCCGCCTTTTTTCTGGAGCAGGGTGGAGCTGGTCCTGGAGAAGAAGATGCTCCCGTGATGGTCTTCCTTCCGGTCGCATCCACAATCACCCTCCAGGCCAGCTCCCACTCTTCCAGGAAGCTCTCCCAGAGGACCGCCTCCCGGGCGCCTCCCACACCCCTCACTCCTTCTCCTGCTGGCCTCCTTTGCATGTCCTGCAGACCCTTCAAAACCCACCAGCAAACAATGGGTAAGTGCTGGCCGTGTGCCATTGATGCTGGTGGGGATGGTCAGCAGAACGTGGCGTCTTGGGGGTCCCAGACCGCTGGCATCACAGAAGCGCCGTGCACACAGGTTCTCGGGCTCTGCTGGAGCTCTCTCACTGTTGCCCGACACTCCGGGCTGAATCAGGAGGAATGTGAACTCAAGGTTTCTGGATTTTGGCCCTAAAAGTGGCCCACATGGATGGCGATGTGGCTGCACCGGGGTGGGGAGGTCACACACCGGGTCAGGGTGCTTGGGTATGTTCTGGGGGCCCCAAGCTTGGGCACCAGGTGTTTGCAAGAAGGACAGAGAAGGGAGACAACAAAGGCTCACACAGAGTTCAGACTGACCGGCTGGGGGTGGGGGTGCTCTGAGGCCACACCACACCGGCTGCTGTGACAGCACACAGTAACCTGGCTCGGGTCCAACACACAGCCCCCTCCCCATCTTCCATGGGCCTGGGGTGCACAGCACCCCAGAAGTAAGGTCCAGTCCCTGCCACTGGATGCAACCTGTGGTGGGCAGTCTTCTGTCCATCCGTGAGCCCTGCCCGTCCCAGACACGCTCAGACCCTCGAGGACAGAGCTGTGGAAGCCAGGCCGGCCATCTCAGCTGTGCTCCCAGCAATGTCATCTGAGGGTTTCCAGGATCCTTGTCCTGAACGTTCGCACTCTCCCCGCTGATCCTGGGCAGCAGGCTGCCCTCTGCCCTGGCCCTGGCACCCAGCCCCTCCTGGCCACCTGTGGCAGCCGTAGGGGGCAGGGTGGGCCCCAGGATGTGGTCATCGCTTTGGTCCTCTCTGCTCACTTGGGAGGAGCACCCCGCCGCAGGCCAGCTCCCTGCCACCATTTCTGGGTTTGCTGTCAGAGCCCCACCCCGGGCGCGGGGAAGGCGCCTGCTCCCCTGTCAAGGGTCTGATCCGGCTGGCGGGTTGCCCACTGCCTGGAGAGAGGCAGGAGGGCTCTGAAGACCCCACCTCCGAGAAGTGGGGTCCTCCCAGGTGGCCGCTGCGGAGATCAGTGGGTTTAGGAGCTCCGTGAGGCTGTGCTGGTACCAAGCCCCTCCTGGCCCCGCCCTGCCCCCCTCCTCCCCCCAGGCTGCTGCCCATCACAGAAGCGCCTCCACCCCTCCGGCCACCTGGGTGCGGACGTCTCGGGGGGCCACGCGTATCTCGGCGCAGGAGTCCTCGGCCATGTCCATCCTTGCCACTTCAGTGGGTGCGGCGTTCTGCGCCAGACTCACACGTAGCTGCGTGTTCGCCGCAAGGGCTTGGTTTGCCGTTAGCGCGAGGAGGTTCTCCCGGCTCCAGCCAGAAGCCTCCGTCGGGGCCGCCCCACCCCCACCCGCCCCCCCACCCGCCAGCCACACCTTGTGAGTCGTTGGGGCGAGTCTATGGGAGAAGCGGCTGTAACTCCATCTCCCTCCGCAGGGCAGGGCTCAGGCCGCTATTACCCGGGAGGGCCTCCGTTTCCGCCCCGTGCAGGAGGGCTCGCTCTTATTTCTGCTCCAGTGGTCGCGCCCAGCGGCAGCCGCCCCAGCTCCCACGCGGCCCCCACTGCCCAGGCCCCTGATGGGGATGGACAGCTACTGGGCAGCCTTGGGCAGCTGCCAGGCATTTGGACTTGGGAGTGGGCAGCCCCGGGTCTGCTGGACACCCCTGCTTCCCACTGCCCTGGCTGCTGGGCCCGGGCCACCCAAGCCCTGAGCCGGGGCTGCCCTGTCTGTCCCGCCGTCCCTCGTTCCATCTGTCACTGGCGCCCAGGGCTTCAGCCAATTAGTGACCAACAGACTGAGCTCACTAGTGCTGCCTGACATCTGGTGGCTGGATCCTGCGTGCAGAGGCCTGGTCCAGTCGAACTGGTCGGCAGCCCGGAGGCTGTAGATGGCAGATGGGCACTGCTTGTGCACGTGAGAATGCGGGCAGGTTTGAGGGAGCTTGTGGGAGTCCAGGGGCCATGAGTGCTTGCAGGATGCCCCCAGCAATGGCTTCTCTTCTACCCCTCTGCCCCGGGCGTTTCCAGAGGATCCCAGAGCCCTGAGCACTCTTCCTGGCAGCCTAGCCCCTTGGAATCTCTCACATGGAACTTGTGTCACCTACCCATTCATCCATTTTCCAACTACCCACCCATCCATCCACCCATTTACCCACCTGTTCACTCATCCATCCATCCATCCACTCACTTATCCATCTGTCCATCCATACACCTACCCATCCATCCATCCATCCATCCACCCACTCACCCACCCACTTATCCACCCATCCTGCTATCCACCCACCATCCACTCATCCATCTACCCGTCACCTACTCATTCACCCCTCCATCTATCCATCCAACGTCCTGTTTAACTATCTTCCCTACTCCCGTCCCTCCATCCTGCCCTTCCATCCACCTTTCCTTTCTCAGTATCGGAACTGAGCACCCCTCCTGTCTTTGTCCACCTCCTTCCTCGGTGACCTTTGGGCTTCAGCAGAGCCTTTTGGGGCCCCACAGTTGCCAGCCAGGCACCCACGAGCCCTGACTGCTCTGCTGTTCCCTTCCAGCCAGCTGCGTCAGAAATGACACCCTAGGTCACCCCCTCTCAGCCTCCCGCGAGGCTGGCTCATTCAGTGGGACTGGACGGGGCAGGCCCGGCCTCGCCGGCCGACGTGACACCAGTGGACGTGCTCATGGAGCAGAAGGAAGGAACTGACACCAACCCAGCCCTTGGTGGGGCCGCCTGTGTTCAGCATCGCTGACTGGAGCCCCCACTAAGTGGTAAACTGAGGCAGGCCCGTGGGGGGAGGGGCAGCCTCTGGCCAGACCACCAGTTCCCCCCACCCCTGCTTTTTGTCCCTAACTCTCCTGGAGCTTTGGTCCTGACGCAAATGTTTTAAAATATATTTTCGCTGGAGAAAAGTTGGAAAACACAAGGAAAGCATCACACAGCTTGCTTGGCCCCAGCTTGCTAAGCACGGCTGGCATCTCGGAGTCAAGGCCAGACGGGGGTGCTGTGCGCGCACCTGACCGCTCACTGTCTTCCCGCGGCGCCAGGTCGACTCCCGCGCCGGTCCGT